ATTTACTTTAGCTCTTACAAATTAATTCAAAGATTGACTATACATACTAATGTATGTTTCTAGTTGATAACAAGTGCTCTTGTTTTAGCTACTTGAATTGAGGTCACTGTGTACTAATTAGTAGAGAAATATTGTCATCACTTAATTAAAAACTAAATACATATTCTGATCACAATTGTAATTATGAAATAAAAAATGTACTGTGTCAAAGATACAAATAATGCAAAACCAGTTAATTTTTTATTGCATTAAATTGTAAAATCTGAGTTGGTAGATGATAATACAACAAATTAAATAAATAAAAACTTGAGCGATTTCAAAGCTTAGATGTTGATGAAGCAGTTAAAAACCAACTCATTGCCATGATTATTTGTGTAATAGGAACAAGAATAATCATCTTATTGGCATAGAATTGCACTGTTTATGATAAATCTTTTGATAAATCTAAGGCCCTAGTGATATTTGATAAGTGTGGTTATTAGAGCTAATCATATCTTGGAAGAGAACCTTCCTTGCCAGTTTTTAAACTTACTCTGAATTTTTACCTTTCAAATTGTTTATTTGAAATTTTCAAATAAATTTGACATATTTTTTGAAATTTTCCTGTTACGTGGAATGGTGAGAATCTTTCTTTTCAAGTATATGATTGAAATATAACCTTTGAAGTATTTTGACTGTTACACTTTAATTTATTTTAATGATGTCTGCTTGAATGAATTTGACACAAAGATATGGACACTGTTGTCCTAACTTAATTTTTCTTTTTAAGATGAGCCTTCCTTCCTTTCCTCCTTCCTTCCTTCCTTCCTTCCTTGGTATGTGCGGTGCTTGTCTACACATCCTTAACACAGATAAGCATGGGGTTATATCATAGAATTAGACCAAGCTAACTAGACAATTTATAGATTAAATTTAGCCCAATTTCATATCCCTTACCCAAGGGTCTTCACATTGAAGCGAGTAAGGCCCATTGAGATATAGGAAGAAAATATCATGACTGATTTTCTAATTTTTATACATGTGTATCTTATGTTTTTTTCATACATATGCATTTCTGTTTTGTCTGTTTTATAATATATATCATATTAGTATTCTAGTACATAATCTCATTTATAAATAAATAACTACACATGTTCCTGCATGCTTACATATTCACTGTGGGATTACTTAAGCAAAAAAACGTGAAGACCATGGTCCTAACATAGCTAACCATAGAGAGTGGACACTAAGTGGAGAACATGTGATTTTTAGGAAGTGATAAGCAGAGGTTTAGTGATTTAAAATATAATAAAATTTTGTAAACATAGAATATTTTGTGCAGATCAAGGGGCTCCTTTATAAGGTCTTTTTAAACATTTTATTATTTATGCTAGTACAGTTGTCCCACATCTTTCCCCTTTGTCCCCCTCCACTCAGCCCCCTTTATGCCTCTCTCTACACGTGCAGTTATTTCCGCTGATACTCAGATTCAGAGTCAACTAACATAGTTTCCCTCAGGCAGACCCCACACTGTCATCCATGTCCATTGGTCCTGCTTGTATGTTCTTTGGCTACTCTATTCCCTATGCATTACTTTATAACTCCCTGGCTTCTCTGTAACTACCAATTTATTTTTACTAATCCCTTCACCTTTTTTACCCATTCCCCTGACCCCCCTCCATCTGGCAACCATCAAAACATTCTCTGTGTCTATGATTCTGTTCTGTTTTTTTATTTATCTTGTTTTCAGATTAAATTGTTGATATGTATTGTCATTTTATTGTTCATATTTTTGGTCTTCTTAAAGAAGACCCTTTAAAATTTCATATAATAGTGGTTTGGTGATAATGTACTCCTTTAGCTTTTACTTGTCTGGGAAGCTCTTTATCTGTCTTTCTATTCTAAATGATAGCTTTGCTGTGTAGAGCAATCTTGTTGTAGGCCCTTGCTTTTCCTAACTTTGAGTATTTCTTGCCAATTCCTTCTAGCCTGCAGAGTTTCTTTTGAGAAATCAGCTGATTGTCTTATGGGGATTCCCTTGTAGGTAACTGCTTTTCTGTTACTGCCTTTAGGATTCTCTCTTTGTATTTAACCTTTGGCATTTTAATTATGATGTGTCTTGGAGTGGTCCTCTTTGGATCCATCTTGTTTGAGATTGTGCTTCCTGGACTTACATGTCTGTTTCCTTCACCAAGTTAGGGAAGTTTTCTTTCATTATTTTTTTTTTTCAAATAAGTTTCCAATTTCTTGTTCTTCTCCTTCTGGCACCTCTACAGTGTGAACGTTGGTACTCTTAAAGTTGTCCTAGAGGCTTCTTACACTATCCTCATTTTTTGGATTCTTTTTCCTTATCGCTGTTCTGATTGCTTGTTTTTTGCTTCCTATGTTCCACATCACTGATTTGATCTTCAGCTTCGTGTTCTCTACTGTTGTTCCCCTTTTAAAATTGCTCTTTATGTCAATTAGTGTATCCTTTGTTTCTGACTGTACCTTTTTTATAATTAACTCATTATAAAACATCAAAAATGCTCCCTGTTTATTTACCAAGCTAGAAGGAGCTTTAATAGCTATAAGTACACTACATACAGCTTTTTAAATAGTTGGGAGCAATTTTTTAGCCTGAAGTTTGCCACATATAATAGCTTTTTATTTTCTGGTTATTGCTGATCTTTATGTAGGCCTTTTTAAGTTTAGTGGTGAACTACTATAAATGTTGGCTCTTTTGCGAGGAGGGTGGATCATCTGTTTTGTCTTTTGTTTCTTCCTGGTGGAGGGTATGTACAGTAGCTTTTAAATTTTTAAAACAAATTGTTATAAATCATGTTTTGAGCAACACATTAATTTTTTGTTTCCCAAAGCTGCTAAAAATTTGTATGTATTGCTTTTACATCCAAAAAAGGTTTTTAGAAGAATTAATAGAAATAACTTCTAGTAGTAGAACTGAAAATAGTCTACGTATTTTCCAAATTACTTATGGGGGAAGGAGGTAAGAAGAAAGAAGAAAAAAACAGTAAAACAGAAAACAAGTAGCAAGGAAGCATTACAACACAGGGAAAAAAATTACATGACGCGTCCAATCAGAATTGTTATATCCATAAACATAAGTGAGATAAACTTACCTTTTATGAAAAGTCTTATTACAAAGGTTTTTTTCAAAAAGCCTAATTATATGCTGTATACAAGAGACTCACGTAAACAAAATGATTCAAAGAAATAAAAAATGAAAGAATAGGCATACCAGGCAAATTGTAATAGAAAGAAAGCCTAAGGGCATCATAATGTTTAATTTGACAGAGTTTAAAAGTAAAAAGTAATAAATGGAACAGATTAAAATGGCAAAACATATTGACAGTGTATATTAATATGAACCAAGTTATATTATATTATAAAATATAAATTATAAAAATTGTAAGAAATAAAGGAAATTGTTAGATCTCAATAGTAGTTCAGAAACTGTGGACTATTCCTCTAAGTCTGTGACAGATCAAGTTGATAATTACATTATTCCTATATTCTATATTTTTATTTTAGTTTATGTACATGACAATGAACTGTATATTCTGAAAACAAAATATGTCTTCTCCATGATTCATGAAATGTATACAAAATTTACCACGTTTTTGGTCACAAAGAAAATTGCAGATAATTCCAAAGAGCAGAAATAGGCTGTCCTTGGTACTCTGACTATGGTGAAATCAAATTAGACCTAAGCAGTGAAGACAGGGAGGAAGTTTAGAAATTTTCAGATCTTTTGTTATATCAAAGAAGTCAAAACTGCAGTTGTAAAATATATAAAAATATAGTAACATTAGCATATACTATATTTTCTTTTGTTTTCTGATTTTAAAAACCATTCTGGTTTTAGGAAGACAGTTAAAAGACAGCATTCTGTAACAAATGTTTCCTGAGCCTCTGTAATGTGCAAGGCATTTGCCTGATGTGAGATATAACTCTGAGTAAGACTGTGAGCCTTGGATTCTGTAATCCACTGGATTTTATTATAGAACGTACATCAAATTATTTGAGATACATAGATAAAAAATCTGTAGTTCAGTATGATCATTTTAATTTTCAACAGAGGTACTTATGGTACCCATATGGAGAGAAGTAGATTGTCCTAGTGTTTTGATTGAACTGTGTAGAATGTCTGGAGATCTTGAATCCTTTTTACCTCTCTCACCTGTTAGCAGTTCTGTTTCATTGGGTCATTCAGTTTTATCCCTCTGGGCTTCAAATTCTTCTATCAATGAGGAAGTTGAATTAAAGTATGGTGTCATTATATATGTTGTTTTTATGTAGCTGTAAATAAATTCATTAAGTAAGTATTGCGCATAAATTCCTTTTCAGTTTGTAAGGACTAATCTTATGTGCTGGTGGGGAGAATGTATCTTAAATAAGAGTTTGTCAAGTTAACAGAGAAGGAGAGAGTTCTAGCTCAGGAAATAACAGCGTATGTAGAGGTAGAGAAGGGAGTGTTTTGCAAAACTGAAGTTAGTTTGTGTGGCCCTTAGTAGTTAGCATGGGTGTATGGAGGAGTAGCAAGACATCAAACATTGAGTATGTGAGAGCCAAATTGTGAAGAATATGGGCTTTAAGTGAAAAAAATGAATACCGATAGAAATGTTTTTTAACAGTGGAAGGAGATGGCACTCTAAGATTCAGTTGAAATTGACGCAGAGATAGCAGTTAGGAAATTGGCAGTCCAGGTGAGACCTGTTAGTCTTACCAAGTAATGGCAGTGGAGATGATATACAGATTGTAAAGCAGGCCTCTAAAATAGATGGGCTTCAGAGGGTCCGTGGCAGTCCTGGAAGTGCCTGTCAAATTTAATATGTGAATTTACTTTTCTTTGGGAGGGGGTCTGTAAATTCCATCAGATCATATAAAGGGGCTCTTGGGATAAACATATATGTTGTAGGGAAAATTGATAGGATGACATTCTACAAACTATGAAGTTTAAATAATTTTAGATTTTATTTATTTGTTAGTGACTAATCTAATTTCTTTTTCACTTTTTATAGTGGACAGGCCAAAATCGCAGCAAGTTCGAACCTCTAGTACAATAAGGCGAACCTCTTCTTTGGATACGATAACAGGACCTTATCTCACAGGACAGTGGCCACGGGACCCTCATGTTCATTACCCTTCATGCATGAAAGATAAAGCTACTCAGGTAAAATAGCAAATCAACAGTTTGACTACCCTGCAGTTATTCTGTTTTGATCACAGTAAAGAAAATGTAGTTTAATCAAATATTCCTAAATTTGAAATATAATATATTCAACCAAAGAAGAAAGCTGTTTCTTTTAATGTACTTTGTTTTTTGTCATCTGGTTTTTCTAAGTTTTTAAATTATTTACTAATTAATAAAACTGTATCAGTCTGTATTACAAAGTTTTTTTAGACTTACAGCTTAATTGCTTCTCAAGAGAAATTAATATGATGAGTAACTATATTAAAAATTTTAAGTAATTTTTTTAAGAAAAGTTTGCACAGTCTTGGGAATAATTTACAAAGTATTAACATATGACTAAGGAAGTTTATGTCAGAGGTGTTTTGGGTGTTTTTTTCCCAGTTAAAAAGGATGCATTTAAATGTGAGAGAATTCAAAGGAATGAGAACATTATGCTTTGTAGGTTAGGAAAATAGAAGGATTAGAGTTTCATGTCTGAAGAATGAGGGAAGAGAAAAAGGGGGAAAATTTTGGACGTGATGTATGAGAATCTTCTCAATTTTTCTAATTTTCTAAGACAAGCTTGAAACCATGAAATTAGCTTCTTTATCATCCGTCCTACCAATTCTGCCTTTGTAATATTTTATGCCACCCCCAGTCTTTTGCTTTTTATTCTTAGCTTTGTGAGCAAAAAGATCAGTTTGAAATGGTAGGCAGTGGGATTCTGAAGTAGAAATAACTAGCAAAATTTAGAGATGTGGGCCTGGACACTTAAAAATGGACACAGATAATTCAAAACCATCTCTCTAGAGGAGCCGCATTCACAAGTGTAGGTGTAGAGTGTAAACAAAGAAGGTCAAAGGACCGGAGACTCAGTTTTTAGAAGTGCACACAAGGGAAAAGGAGAAAACTAATGTATGCACCTGGAAGCAATAGGAAGAGGAGGGAGTCAACATATACTGACTGTGTGCCATGTGCTGTGTGTTTTACATCCTGTGTTTCACTTAAGTCTCACAAGGACATTGTAAGACTGCACAGACAGGGAAGCAGAAACTCAGGGAGGTTAAGTGACTTACACAGGATCATAAAACTAGAAAGTGTTGGAACCAGGTTTCTAAAATAGGTTAATTTGTCAACCAATCTGAGCTCCAGTTTTTTGCTGCTGCTAGGATAAATGGAGTAACGTGCGTGCATGTGTGTGTGTTGTTTAGTAGAGTAACTGCCACTGCACTTAAAAATGGTAGTTATTCTTTTTAGACAAAAAAAATCCTACCTTTTATTGGATATGCTTCATGCTGACACTATCCAGAAACATTATCTCATTTGTCCTTCACAAAAGCTCTGAGAAAGAAGAGCCAGGGAAAGAGCAAAAGCTAAGAGAGCAGAAATACTCTAGACTTACAAGCTTGTAAAGAGAGGTCATGGAGAATAAGGGCTGGATTTAAGGATTAGGGGCACCTTGTCTTGGATAGTATGATGTGGCAGAGGAGGAAACGCATATATTGGGGAATTAAGAAGAGCCCTGGCTTGTGTAGCTCAGCGGATTGAGCACGGGCTGTGAATCAAAGGGTTGTCGGTTAGATTCCCAGTCAGGGCACGTGCTGGGTTGCGGGCCAGGTCCCCAGTGGGAGCCCCATGAGAAGCAACCACACCTTGATGTTTCTCTCCCTCTCTTTCTCCCTCCCTTCCCCTCTCTCTAAAAATAAATTAATTAATTTTAAAAAAGAGTGATATGGAGATAGCATAGAAGGGCTCTGAGTAGGTTTAAACATATCAGTTTCTTTATGTGATAGGAGTAATGTAACTGAACTTATAATATTATAAGACTAAACATACTATTTGAAAGCGTATATGGCAATATACATGTGAGGTTATTAGTAGTAAATATAGACAGGCCCATTTGTAACATTTGGAGGGTCTGGAGCAAATATAAATGAAGACCCATACTGTATAAGTTAAACTAACAAACTATTATATGAAATATATTTGTCCTTCTAATTTGACAAATAAATTTTCATATGGATCTTGAAATTCTGGTTTGAGCTAAGAATTTCTAGGTTCCTTAGAGTTACATGCCAGAATGTGTCTACATGGGCTGAGCTCACCCACCTTCTGAGCCTAAACTCGTATCTTTTTACACCCCCACACCATTCTGTGCCCTGAGGGGTAGCTTTTCACATATGTTGAACGCCCAGTCCTCATATTGATTTTCATCCCCATTTTCTCAGGAAGTAGGTCCTGGCAGACCTTGGAAAGCCAGCTTGCTGCCATTTGACCAAGGAGTTCCTGGGTCTGGACTACCCAGAGCATAGCCTGTGGCAGAGGCATGGGTTCATGGTGTGCATGTCCCTTTGGTCCTAAATCCGCTTCACCCTCTGAAGAGGGACATGGCTGGGAGAGGACCAGTGTTCTCCCCCCAAGAGCTCAAGGTTCAGGGTAGGGGCTCTCCTTGCCTGGTTCTGCACGTAGGTCCTTTTTGAAAACCTAACATTGAAAGAAAGATAACATGTAGGCCTCATCTTACAGGTAAGATGCTGAACCTAGGAAAGTTAAGTAATTGGTAATACAGGTGAGATACTGGGCCTAGGAAAGTTAAGTAATTGGTAATGTTTATGTAGCTGATAAATACAAAGAGATTTTATGAAGAGATTTGAACGCAGAGTTGGTTGATCACAAAGCCTTGTTTGTTCCTCCAATTCCCCACTGCCGGTCATAGTAGTCACTGAAGCATGTAACACTTATCCTCCTGCTTGCCTCACGAGCAAAAGAAATGGTTTTGGCCCCAAGTATTTGTTAGTTTAATTGAAGATAAAAGAGATAAACATATGCGATGGTTTTTATTATCACATTCTTCCCTCCTGGATTAACTTTTGAACTCTGGGGGAGGGAAGTAGAAGTTTCTGTTTATTTAGTCGGAGTTAGTGGAGGGCAAGTGGTACAGTCACCTTGCCTCGGATATTAAATACTTGGGCTCTCTGGTCTTGGTGGAGGGCATCTCTGGTGCTTTCTTCCTGTCATATTTCCATATTTCAACTACCTTAATTATTGAGGTTTGGCAATAAAACTCTTAATATTCAATATATTTATACTTTGGGCCTTTAAAAATTAGTATAATGTGAGAAAGACTAGACTTTGGAGACAGATCTTATTTCAAATCAAGGCTCAGGATGAGGGAACTTTCTGGGATGATGGAAATGTATATCTTGAGAGGCTTTGGTTACATGGGTGAATGCGTTTGTCAGAACTTAGATCTAAGTTGATACTTGTGCATTTTATTATATAACTTTAAAAATATAGAACATAAATATTGAACTCTAATAGTTTAGGGGTGAAGTATATTGCTGTCTGCAACTCTTGGGTTGGCCAAAAAGATCATTTGTTTTTTTCCGTAAGATGGCTCTAGTAGTACTTAGTTGTCTTTAACTTCATTGGAAACAGTTTTGTTAGATTGTATTGTGACAGCTTATCAAAATCGGTGAATTTCTATGTATCCATTTTAATACTGAAGATGGAAGAAAATATGTGACATTTTTGGCATATTATGCTTTATTATTTCAAGAAAGATAAAAATGCAACTGAAATGCAAAAAAAAAAGATATGTGTAGTGTTTGGAAAAGGTCCTGCGACCAATCGAACATATCAAAAGTTTCATCCTGGAGATTTCTCACTGGACTATGCCCCTTGGTCATGTACACCCATCAAAGTTGATAGCAATCAAATCAAGATATTACTTGAGAATAATCAGTGTTATACCATGTGGAAGATAACGACATACTCAAAATATCCAAATCGGTAGTTATTGGTGAAAATGAAAAATGTCTTTTACTTTATGGAAAACAACTAAACGGACTTTTTGGCTAACCCAGTAACTTTGAAATGAATAAAAGTCAGCTCAGTTATGGATAGATGGATAGATATGTGATAAAGCAAATACAACAAAAAGTTGACTATAAAATATAAGTTGTTGGTTTTATGAGTACTCACGAGCAGTTTTTTCAGCTGTTCTGTGTTTGAATTTTTTAAAATAAAATGGTGGGGGGAAAAGTGATGTCCAAGACTTCTGGTCAAAATGGTGGCATAGGTAAACGTGGCTTGCCTCATTGTACAACCACACCAAAATTACAACTAAAATATAAAACATCCATCACTCAGAACCATCAGAAATTGAGTCGAGTGGAAGTCTAACAACTACAGAATTAAAGAAACCACATCCATCCATACTGGTAGAAGGGGCAAAGATGTGGAACAGGCTAGTTCCACATGCATGTGTGGTGAATAAAAATTTGGGAAGGATATCTCAGGAGCGAAGAGTCCCAGCCCCACACCAGGCACCCCGGCCCAGGGTTCCAGTGTCAGGAAAATAAGTCCCCCTAACTTCTGGCTGCAAAAACCAATGGGGATTGAGTTGATAGAAGAAACTTCTGGAGTCCCAAGCAGTTCCCCTTAAAGAATCCATACATGGACTTAGATTTACTCTCTCTGAGCTCCAGCACTGGGGTAGCAGTTAGAAAGGCACCAGTGGCATATGGGGAGGAACTGAAGTGTCTGGCATCAAGGTGAGAGCTGGGGGACAGTTGTCTCTCACACAGAAAGCCAGGCAGAGGCCATTGTCCCTTTCTGAGTCCTCCTCTCACAGAGCCACAGAATGAGCAGACCAGTGCCATATCTGAGACTCCATCAACCTGGCTAACACTGTTTGTCCAGCCCTGGAGATTCCCTGAGACTTTATTCCCTGAGACAACTTATAGGCCCACCCAAACTGTTAACTGTGACTTTTCCATATGAATGACATATTAGATTATGCTTTATAACTTCCTAAATCCTATCAAACAAGTAACAGTGGCCTCAATGAGCTCACAGCCTCCTACCTCTTGCTAAGTGCCCCCAGGCCCAGGACTAGCAACAGCCAGTCTAGATTCACAGTGTGGCTTCACCTGGGAATCTTCAAGCCCAGCACAAGTAGCAGACATCTTAGACTGCTTTATAGCTCATTCAGGGGC